CGATTTGGTACGATTTTGTCTGATTCAGATACGATCATAGTACTATTCTTCGACCTGGGTGGTATAATCATCTTCACCTATCTTAAGATAGGTGAAAATCATTATACACAAGTAGAAATTAGGAATTGTTCGCATGCTTTATCAGTTATTTTCTATCAATAAAGCTTAAATCAAACATGTAAAATTGAAAGGGCTACAAAATAAGCTATAGTACGTTGTTTCAAACCTTAAGTTTAAAAGACTTATTAGCAAATTACCGAACCCATACGATGAGTTTATCGTGCGACAGGACAGTCAATGAAGTACAGTGGTGTAAATATGGGAAGACCAGGAATGGCTTTCATACAAGAAAATGCAGGAAATAACAAGCTTCAAAATTAAAATACATTAGATTCTTGTAAACGTATGCCTTCATACATTCGTACACTAAATACTGTACAACTATGCTGATTGTTGCTTAAAGTACGTGACAAAAGCTTAAGATTTTTCTTTTTCTAACATTTTTCATCAACCATGACAGCTAAAACAGTACTAAAGAACGCTTTGAGCAGCTGAAACATTTTTCTATCCGATAAGGCGTATACAAAAAGTTTTCTCAAAATGTTTAAAAAGCAGGATTTGGGAAAAATCTTTTTTGGGAAAGACCTACTTTCAAGTATTCTAGCTTCTATCGATAGTTTTGTGTTAATAGTTTAGTTAGAGAGAGTAAACGTTTCTGAGGAAAATAAGACGTCTACGAGCTCTTTACAATAGGTTTTCATCGATTTACATTATATTTATTTTGACCCATCTGTTCATATTTGCTCCTATTTTTTCCAGCTCCTATTAGAATATAAGTAGTCGAGGCGAAGTCGTATCTATAGCCAAGAGCATGTGAAAAAATAAATGTCGCCTGTATGCGACCATATGCACATATTATGACCAAATTTTGTTAGCACCAAGACTTTCACATACTTTGTTTTAATCTGAAAAATATGTTATACCATTGACTATCATTTCTACTTGTTGTATGAGTACATTTCTACCATAAACTATGAATTCATTAAGTACAAGAACCTTAGCTGTTGAGTTCATAAATGGGTGGAATATGAAGGATGGCTAGTTTTGAAGATCAGTTTTCTCTGTAGTTGAATTTGTTGCGAAATCGTTTTGGAAAAAATGATCGGTGCCACTTTTCTTGCTATGCCAATAATATTTATTCTTGTTTAAACTCTTTTATTTTAGGCAACAATTGAAAATGCAGTTGAACTTGAAGAAAAAATAGACGCTTATGAAAAAGATGAAATTAAAAATGTATTAATTCTTGTTATTGATGCACGAATAGGACATCAACGTCAACACATTCCATTTGCTCGACAACTCATAGATAAATCAGAGAATACATGTAATGTTCATTATCAAACACCAAATGGAGTACCACAGGAACAACAAAAGTTTATGCGTAAATATTTTATTATGTTATTACATTTACCAGCACAAGAATTATATAATCAATCATGTTTTCCATCAATATTTTTACAAGATTGGAATTTTTATTTTTTTGATACATGTACACTATCAAGTGCATTTCATTTACAAAAACTGTTAGATATTTTATGTCAATCATCATATTCTAAAATACAACAACAATCAGATCAACAATTAGATGATAATATTCAATTATATGATTTAAATATTTTATTTGATGATTGTTTATGGGAATTTTGTTCACGTTTACAATTAGTTATACAAGAATTACCAAAAAATTTATTTAAAAATGATATTGTTTTTGAATTTTATCAAAAACAAACAAGTGTTATTAAACGTGTTCAATGTTTTAAACAAATATTATCAAAATGTTCACAATTACAAAAACGTATTATGGATATTTATCATGAACATTTATTAATAGAAAAACAATCATGTAAAAAAATATATAATTTAATTTATCAAATATCAAAAGATATTCTATGTGGTAAACGTTTTGATGGTCTTGTTGATTCTGTAAGATTACAAATACAATCATCATTAATAAATTTTGTTTCTTGTATATTAAAATTTCTTGTCAATGATTATGGATTAGAAACATTAATTGAATCATCAACATCAACAACAAACAATAATTATCATACAATGTTAAATTTAATTGATTATTCAACATTTAAAATTGATGATAATACTGATACGACAATAATAACAGAAGATACATTTCAATTTGTTACACATTATTCTTTTATACCACAAACACCATTATTTCATTTATTTCATCAACGAATTAAATCGTATGCTGATGATATTAAAGTACAAAGTATTCTTAAAAAAGGTGAATATGTTCGTTCTATTATCTTTTTTTTGTCATTTTTTTGTCTTTGAAATTTTATATATGATTTGATTTGTGTGTTTTAGAGAGAAAACCTGAGGATCATACTACAACAGTAACAACAGCTGATAATGATCAATATGAAGAAGAAGACGAAGAAGAAAATGATAATAATATAATTGTTTTGACTCCTGAACAATTTCGACATGAACTATTCAAAGAAATATTAAAAGATGAAATATTAGATAAAATTATCACTAAACAAGTAATAAACTCATATTCAATAGATTTAATAAAAACATTATGTACAATTGTTGAAAAAAATTTTAAAAATGAATTAAATGAACATGAAAAAACAATTGAATTTTTATCAAAATGGTTATTATTATTAGATGAAAATGATAGTGATCTATATGAAAATTGTACAAATAAACAAGTATGGTTATTATCGCATATTTATACATCATTTGAATATGATAAAAATGATTTATTATCTTTGTATAATGTATGTCGTATTTTAAATCATCTTGATTCTACACTTGATTTTTATACAATAAAAACGAAAAAAGATGATGATGATGATAATAATAATAATGAAAATGAACTACGTACACGTTCCAATGTACGTGATCAATTATTTATTTTAATGTTTGATTATTTATGGAAACATTTATGTTTACCTGATAGAAATCATCAACAATGGATAGAAATTTATACATTTATAACAAAATATTATCCATCTGATAAAGTATTACAACGTATACAATTAACAAATATTAAATCTAAAATTGAATTTATGAATTTAGCTTATTTAATATTTTTAAATGATAAAACACCTGAACCAAATGAACTTGTTTTCTATTTATTAACAGAAACAAAATTAGTTAATAATGAAAATAATGATAATAATTGTTCAAAATTACAAATTATTATTGATGCCATTCAAAAATATTTTGAAACTAAACAAGCAAATTGTTCAACATTAATGATTGATAGTCAACAATGGATTATATCAATATTAAAAGCATCTTCAACATTAATAAAACAGGAAATGAATTATTTATTTAAGTATTTAAATTCACAAACTTGTCAATTGTCATTAGCAATGAAACAATTTTTATTTAATGAAGTAGCAAATATATATATTGAACGTAGTAAACCAATACGAAAATCTACAAGTGATCTTACAAGTGAACGTATTAGTATCTTATTACCTGTTATTATTGAATGTTTGACCGATATTGATAATATATTGGTACAAAAATATCAATTTCCTTATCATCCATCAGTGGAAAATACTCGGCAAAATCAAACATTACTTGATCTTTATTTTTTCTATGTAAGGCGTTATTTAAATGATGAAGTTATTAAATATGACTTTATTAATAAAATTATGTTATTAAAAATACCAACACAAATTCCTCTTGCGAAACGTCCTATAGCTGATTATTTATTTAAACAATTAAAAATTTATATATCGCTCTATTCAACAGGTAAATATAAAAAAATCTTTGTTCAATCTCTTGTTTAATCTACATTTGTGATCTCTCCTTCCTTATGTTTTAGCTTTTTGATGATTCATTCAGGACATTCGGCATGAAGGATGAGAGCTCTCAAATGTGAACGATAGGAAATTTCTTTTTGCGTAAGTCAATAACATATGAAAACTACCTGCTTTTTCCTCGCAACGATTCAGGCCGAGAGATCACGATGTTTCAGATCATTTCAGACAAGAATCCTTAATTTTGTCTTGATACATCAGACAAGATTCTTCTTTTAATTTTTTATTGAATTTTCATCTTTTTCGTTAAAGATTCTTGTTTGAAGTGGCAGGATTCGTTGACGACAAAATCACCAATTTATTTTGTCGATTTCCGTGCTATATACCCTAGTGAATGTACTTGCCCAAGTACCCTTGCAAGTTTTATCTACTGTACTTGGCTTGTTCTGCAACTAAATGAAATACTTGAATTAGCTGATCTGCTTGTCAAGTACTTGGCTAACTGCTCGCCCAAATAACCCGCAAGTACCTGTGAGAAGTTTGACAAGTAAATCAAGTATTTAGCAAGTGCTCTCCTATGGAAACTACTTGCCCTGTTCCTAAAATGCATGTCAAGTACTTGTCAAGTACCCGTAGAAATTGGCAAGTAAGCAAGTTATTCACTAGGATATAAGTTACATAATACAGCTCAATATCATACATAGATGCCTTTAAAAAGTCTTTTAAATCTCATAAGATTCTTGTCAAGAGACACTCAAGTCTTTACATGTGCCTGTATTGGTATTAGAGCATCCAGCTCCTGTATGAAAAATAGATTATATACGCATTCTATTTGTTTGCAAGACTTTTTAAGAATTACAAGACAAGATTCTTGCAGGAAAAAATGAGTCAAGAATCCTGCAGGAAATCGCTTTTTTGTGAATTCAGACAAGAATCCGTCTCGCGATTCTTGTATGAATTCACAAGAAAGCGATTTCCTGCAAGGTTCTTGTGATAAAAATACATGTAAAATATTTTACAAGATACTTGT